TATTGTCAAAACTTTTCGGCAGGAGGAATACTGGCGTTCAAGATACTTCAGCAGTCACTACAAGTATAATAAATCGCTGGGATACGAGACTGATGAAATTGCAGAGAAAGAGTCACATAAGAAACTTGACAATACATTAATGAAATTGTTTGCTGTAAGTTCAAAATATGATTATCTACGTTTGTGTTGCCTTGTTTTGTTGGAATTGCAACGATTGAACTGTAAATTTTTATTTTGTTACTGCAGCAATAAGAAGAACCAATATGTCATTTAAATACTTTAAGACCAACGAAAAACCAATTACAACCATTAGAAAATGAGTTTTTGTTGTGAAAAACAAAATATACATGCACCAATGATGGTTGTAGTGAGTGTGATATTATCGATAAGAACTATGTATGCAATGTTTATATCAGTGCAATAATCATTGTTTATATGACTATCTAGTGTTTGAACTCAATGGCACCCACATTACCTGCAGCTGACATAATAATAATTATTAAATGCAAATCAATTAAGTGCAAATCAAAACCCAATATAGAAATGCAGGTGAATCAGCTTGGAAGAGAATATCTTTCTGGCAAAGTTGTCAGTGCAGACATTGGTTTCCTCCTAGTGAATTACATTAATTAGTCCCCGTTTGAACGCAGTCCGAAAACGTGTGTGCGTGCGTCCGGACCTGTATCTTAAAAATGCCTGGACCAATCACAATCAAACTTCACATATATATCATACATGATATCATACATATGCACGTCAATTTGTTTCACGATCTGATTCAAGATGGCCGAATGACGACCATTTTTGTGCTAAAAATCATCAAAAACAAGCATTTCTCAGCTGTTAACAGATGGATTTTGTTCAAACTTGGTATATACATTAGACATTATAGGACCTTGATGCAAATCATTTTGTTTTACGATCTGATTCAAGATGGCCGAATAGCGGCCATTTTTGTGCTATAAAATCATCGAAATCAAGCATTTCACGGCTGGCTGTTTACAGATGGATTTTGTTCAAATTTGGTATATATATTAGACATTATGGGACCTTGATGCAAATAATTTTGTTTTTCAGATAAGATTCAAAATGGCCAACTGGCGGCCTTTTTGTTTTAATGAATGTGGTTCTCATGCCATATCTCTGACTTGCTTTCACTGATTATGTTTCAATGTTAAATATTCATTATACATCATGTCATAGATAGACAGATATATTGGTTTGACGATCCTATTCAAAATTGCCAAATGGTGGCCATTTTTGTGCTAAAAAATCATCAAATATCAAGCATTTATGAATAGATTTTGTTCAAACTTGGTACATATGTTAGACATTACAGGTTCCTGATGCACATCATTTATTTTTCAGATCGGATTCAAAATGGCTGTCTGGCGGCCATTTTGTTTTAATGATTGGGCTTCTAGAGCCATATCTCTTAAATGCTTTGACTGATTATATTCAAATTTTATATATTCGTTATACATCATGTTATATATATACATGTATTCAAAATGGCTGATTTTGAATGCTGTTCCAGTACTTTTTTGACGATCAGATACAAATGTCAATCATTTTAATGTTAAAAAAATCATATTCCTGACATGGTTATATTCCAGCTAAATTACTATAAACAAAACTATACATCTTAAATTTGATAACTAACGGGGACTGTGCCATGCATGGCTTGTTATTATTGTGTTAATTATATATGGATATGCGAGGCACCACTTTTGGTGAAAATCACTGTCTGGGAGACCAAATTCCTAAAAAACACCCCTGAAACAAATTTACAAAAAACACATATTTGTTGCATAGTACATGTAGAATAATCACGTAGTTAAAACATTAATTTATGGTCAACTGAGCACAAGCACATGTACATTAGTTTAAAATCATTGACCTATCATTGCCATATATCGTACATGATATCGTCACAGCATAACTACAACCCCATTGAAAATGTTCATTATAAATTATATATAATTGACACTCTGTAATCGTCATTGCTAACTACGCCAAGCTTTGCTCAGGTGTTACAAATAGTAAATATTGTTTCAATTTTTGCTTGTATATACGTACAATTTAGACCTTTATGTGGGACATAATTTAGACTTTTTAACACATGGACTGCTAAAAGCCTCTATTTATAGCCAAAATCAATAGGGAAAATAGTGTCAGCAAGTTTAATCCTGATGTGCTCTACTTTGAAACTGACAGACATTGTACATTCACTTTTATTGGACAAAAATTTGATCAAATTTTTAAGTTTTGTGAGATGTTTACAGCATATTTTAATTATTAAGTACAAGATAAATTAATAATGGCAAGATGGAGAACACTGTTGACTTGTGCCATTTTAGGCTAAGAAGATGGTATCTTATTTGATACACAGTATCAGTTCGGTATGATATTCAGGAATTGTCTTATTCTGTGTATCAAATTATAATCTTTTGTTGCGAGTCATAAAATCTATGCTCTGCTCAGTGAATAAATTTACATAATTTCTGTATTCAGCTTGCATGTAAAACAGACCGTGATTTTCGAGGTGCTGAGATTGCTGAGTTGATGTCTGATGAGTTCACCATTAGCCTGGCTATAAAATATGCAAGCAGACTGAAAAAAATGTCTTTAGCTCAGTACCTTAGTCAACTGGCACAACAGAAATCTGAAGAAGATAGGGAGCCTGAAGATGAGTTTGACGGATACAATGCAGACTCGATGTAAGTTTTTGAATTCCACAAAATTTTCTCTACGCCGGAATTATCACGTAACCATTTTGTTATCAGGTATGGTAGGATCTAAAAAAGAATGAATCAAACAAACTATTTACAAATCATGTTCGCTGAATGTTATTTGCGAATCTCTTCCAGAATTATCAGCCACAACCAGTAATCACAGCAGAGACAAGTTTTCAAATTTATACAATCGTTAAACCCAAACACAAGTATATTTTTATCGTTTTAATAGTTAACCCAAACAAAAATAGCTATAAGCTGGGCTATCATTGGATGAATTTATTTGATGCATCAACATAATTAGCAGTTCCAAACAAAAATGGCTATAAGCTGGGCTATCATTGGATGAATTTATTTGATGCATCAACATAATTAGCAGTTCCAAACAAAAATGGCTATAAGCTGGGCTATCATTGGATGAATTTATTTGATGCATCAACATAATTAGCAGTTCCAAACAAAAATAGCTATAAGCTGGGCTATTATTGGATGAATTTATTTGATGCATCAACATAATTAGCAGTTCCAAACAAAAATAGCTATAAGCTGGGCTATCATTGGATGAATTTATTTGATGCATCAACATAATTAGCAGTTCCAAACAAAAATGGCTATAAGCTGGGCTATCATTGGATGAATTTATTTGATGCATCAACATAATTAGCAGTTCCAAACAAAAATGGCTATAAGCTGGGCTATCATTGGATGAATTTATTTGATGCATCAACATAATTAGCAGTTCCAAACAAAAATGGCTATAAGCTGGGCTATCATTGGATGAATTTATTTGATGCATCAACATAATTAGCAGTTCCAAACAAAAATAGCTATAAGCTGGGCTATCATTGGATGAATTTATTTGATGCATCAACATAATTAGCAGTTCCAAACAAAAATGGCTATAAGCTGGGCTATCATTGGATGAATTTATTTGATGTATCAACATAATTAGCATTTCCAAACAAAAATGGCTATAAGCTGGGCTATCATTGGATGAATTTATTTGATGCATCAACATAATTAGCAGTTAATTATTTTAAATGAAAAAATTGTAAAAACATAATAAATCAACATTCATAGCTTAATACAATGTAGCACTAGGCTATAGAAAATGAAGTAAATATCTGATTTGTTGTAGGTACAGTCAAGCAGACACACAGCAATACACACAAAATAGTTCTTACAAATCACATAATGGTACCAGAAAAGATGATGAAGAGATGTATATGGATGAGGAGAGTAACCATAGCAACAAGAGTGAAGACACCACTGAGAAAATGGTTATACTGAAACCAAAGAAAGGTACAGAATATAACTAACACCATTCTATAATAAAGTCAGTTTTCGATATTTTACATCTTGACAAAACATTCCCAATGCTTTGATTAATGTTTTCAAAATATGACAATATCACATTAGATGATTAAACAATTATATAACCAAAAAACAAATGATATCACAACTGATTCTCATACTTCTCATATTACAACTACGCTTGTAGTTTCAGCTCCCAAGTTGGTTGCCGCATCACAAGGTAGAAAGAATCCATTCAAAGTGACTGATAATGATGAGACAGGTACAACTATCATCACACGGGGTTCATCAGTCTTCGACAGTATGAAGAAAACGACTACATCTACCAAACAATCACAGAAAAGTCGTAAGTCATTTTAGTTTGTTTAACAAGTAACTACTGTCATATTTATATTTATAAACTGTTGGTTTTGGTCCTCGGTGACTGGAGATGTGTACTATCATTTCTCACACTGTCGGTAGTTAAGCTTTAATAGATTTTGTACATGTACCTAGAACACTTTAGTTCAAGGAAGCTAAAAGATAAGTCATAATGGTATACATAAGCATATTGATTTGTTTTTGTTTCATTTACCTTTGGTCAAATGCTAGCCATATTATGAAGTTACCTAATTTATTTTGGTGATTTGATTCACAATAGCCAACTATTGACTGTCTGTTTCTTGTGTACCATAACCGTTTCTCAGGTACACTTGAACTGACTTTGTTTAAATTTGGTACAAAAGTAAGACCTAATGTGCGAGTATATTCTCTTCAGCTGATCGGGTTTTTATAAAATTTAACTGACTGGTAGCCATTGCTATCCAACAAAATTTGAGCATGTCATCAACCATTTCTCAGGTATGCCTAGACCAAATGTAATCACAATTTGCATGAACAGCACATGTTTTTCTATTTGATTTGATTCAAAATGGCCAACTGGTGGCCTTGTTGGTTTTATTTGTATGTGTCCTTAACTTTTTCCTAGACCTTGTCTACACAAATTTGTGAAATTTAATTTTGGCAAAATACAAATGGGAACTTTGACAATGACTTGTTGAATAAATATGTCTGGTTTTCTGTGTTTTTGTTTGCAGCAAAAGGTTTTGAATTGAAGCCTACTGTGACAAGACAGCCAAGAAAAATGCAGGCTACATTATTTCAGAAGAAAAATAAACAAAAGGAAACTCTTACAAATGGAGACGGAATGGACACTAACAGTGACGACAGACCTGTCTCTAAAAAGTCAGTTGCGTCTACTGTGTACCACTGTAATTTTCTAAAACAATTGTCACAAATTTTACAAATTGGGCAAATTTTGTAGCAGTAATTATCTACTTGTGATCAACAACTGGTCTTTGGTAATCTCCACAAATGTTTGTAGATTAGCATCTAGTGAGGATTCATAGTTTATGATATATTCAATTCTCAGTACTCACAGGCAATGAAGCAATGTGTAAACAGTGTATTATTTATGGTAACCTGTTACCTTCAATAATTGATGTGTACATGACATTTAGTGCTTTCTTCACTCATCCAGTGCAAAATAAGTACCATAATTTGTATTTTAATAACTTTTGAGGGATCTTGTTTTTGTACCTTTCTGGGGTAAACCAAGCATGAAAAAACAAATTGATTTGTTTCATTCATTTATGTAGATACTGTACGAGTATCTTTTAAAGTGATGAACAATTTGTCTACCATCTGAATTGGTGAGAATGGTGTCAAATGTTAACTTCAGTCAAAAGCACTTTGGTCATATGTTAAAACCAGTTCATGTATGGTAACAACAAAATGCCATAAGTTGACATCATAAAATATTTTGTTTTTCAGACCAACTATGTCAGCATTTCAGATGTGGTTTAAACATAACAAGTCTTCATTGCAAGATGATCATCCAGAGTTAGATGAAGATGAGATCATGAAAGTAGCAACACAGTCATATAGAAAACTAACCACTGAGGAGAAAAAGGTGATTATTCAAATAAAACACATTGGTTAAAGGGCACTGGTTGTTGGAATTGTGGTGTTTGATATGGGTCCCACACTATGCATAGCAACATGTACTAATGTGGGTCCCACACTATGCATAGCAACATGTACTAATGTGGGTCCCACACTATGCATAGCAACATGTACTAATGTGGGTCCCACACTATGCATAGCAACATGTACAAATGTGGGTCCCACACTATGCATTGCAACATGTACTAATGTGGGTTCCATACTATGCATGGCAACATTTAGTAATTTGGGTTCTATGCTATGCATTGCAGTACATTTGTATTTAGTAATGTTGGTTCCATACTATGCTTGGCAGCATTTACTAATGTTGGTTCCATACTATGCATGGCAGCATTTACTAATGTTGGTCCCATACTATGCATGGCAACATTTACTAATGTGGGTCCCATACTATGCATGGCAACATTTACTAATGTTGGTCCCATACTATACATGGCAACATTTAGTAATGTGGGTCCCATACTATGCATAGCAACATATACTAATGTGGGTCCCATACTATGCATAGCAACATTTAGTAATGTGGGTCCCATACTGTGCATGGTAGCATTTAGTAATGTGGGTCCCATACTATGCGTGGCAACATTTACTAATGTTGGTCCCATACTATGCGTGGCAACATTTACTAATGTTGGTCCCATATGCCTGGCAACATTTAGTAATGTGAGTCCCATACTATACATGGCAACATTTAGTAATGTGGGTCCCATACTATGCATGGCAACATTTACTAATGTTGGTCCCATACTATGCATGGCAGCATTTACTAATGTTGGTCCCATACTATGCATGGCAGCATTTAGCAATGTGGGTCCCATACTATGCATGGCAACATTTAGTAATGTGGCTTTCATACTATGCACGGCAACATTTAGTAATGTGGGTCCCATACTATGCATGGCAGCATTTAGTAATGTGGGTTTCATACTATGCATGGCAGCATTTACTAATGTTGGTCCCATACTATGCATGGCAGCATTTAGCAATGTGGGTCCCATACTATGCATGGCAACATTTAGTAATGTGGGTTTCATACTATGCACGGCAACATTTAGTAATGTGGGTCCCATACTATGCATGGCAGCATTTAGTAATGTGGGTTTCATACTATGCATGGCAGCATTTAGTAATGTGGGTTTCATACTATGCATGGCAACATTTAGCAATGTGGGTTTTATACTATGCATGGCAGCATTTAGCAATGTGGGTTTCATACTATGCATGGCAGCATTTAGTAATGTGGGTCCCATACTATGCATAGCAACATTTAGTAATGTGGGTTTCATACTATGCATGGCAGCATTTAGTAATGTGGGTTTCATACTATGCATGGCAGCATTTAGCAATGTGGGTTTCATACTATGCATGGCAGCATTTAGTAATGTGGGTCCCATACTATGCATAGCAACATTTAGCAATGTGGGTCCCATACTATGCATGGCAGCATTTAGCAATGTGGGTTTCATACTATGCATGGCAGCATTTAGCAATGTGGGTTTCATACTATGCATGGCAGCATTTAGCAATGTGGGTCCCATACTATGCATGGCAACATTTAGTAATGTGGGTCCCATACTATGCATGGCAACATTTAGCAATGTGGGTCCCATACTATGCATGGCAGCATTTAGCAATGTGGGTTCCATACTATGCATGGCAGCATTTAGCAATGTGGGTTTCATACTATGCATGGCAGCATTTACTAATGTGGGTTTCATACTATGCATGGCAGCATTTAGTAATGTGGGTTTCATACTATGCATGGCAGCATTTAGTAATGTGGGTTTCCATACTATGCATGGCAGCATTTAGCAATGTGGGTTTCATACTATGCATGGCAGCATTTAGTAATGTGGGTCCCATACTATGCATGGCAACATTTAGCAATGTGGGTTTCATACTATGCATGGCAACATTTACTAATGTGGGTTTCATACTATGCACGGTAGCATGTGGGTCAAATGTATTGTTTATTTACAAACACTTTGTACACTTTTAGACAGACATTCATGTTACTGTGACAAACACAATTTATGAATTAAACAATTACAAATTGTTTTGATATGAAAATTAAAAAATGTTATAAACAAAGGGATTTGATATCTGCTTTTTGTCATAGCATATCTTGTTGAGTCAAGACTGCTCACAATAGACATACATTCGGGACAGTTGCCACAAACTTTACTCTGATTAAATAGACATGTTTTTTTCAAAAAGTGGTATAAATAAGATTTCACTATATTTGTCCAAACAGGGACCTCGCATCTGTACATTCTGTCACCTGTTTGTACCTTACACATGCCTCAAGTTCAAACTTCACACATACATCATGCGTATAGGCACAGATATGCACATTTCAAGATGGCTGAATAGACTGTTTAGTGCTATGATTAATTACAATTTGTTGCCAGAAACAGATTTTGGTCGTGAAGGATGGATTTTGTTCATTTGTTATATACATTGATTTATTTCAAAGCTAAAGAAATTAATGCTAAAATCAAACATTTCTGTCTCTTCCGAACTTGATACATACATCATTTTGTTTTTTTAAATAGAATTTGAAATGGTCATTTTTTTTTCAACAAATGTTGTTCCAGAGAAATTTTTTTGACCAATCCTATAACAAATTTACAACATCACGTCACACACATGCGTATGTGATAAAATTCAAAATGGCCCTTATGGCATACATTTTAAAACCGTCATTTCAGAACCAGATTGAATGAAACTATGATTTAAATGGTTTCATTTGTTTTGCTAATATACAAGCCTGGGACTGTCATTTGAATGACTTGAAAATTATTAGAATAACATTCTTTTCATTTTCTCAGGAATGGGGAGAGAAAGCCAAAAAGGAACCTGGATCTCAAACTGCTGAGCAGTCTGACAAGAAGCGCAAACGAGAAGAAAACAATGAAGAATTAACAGAAACAATTCCAAGCAAAAAGAAAACTTTTCCAAAAGAGTTAGACTGTAAAACCAAAAAACCTCTGTCAACTTCTACTAATGCTAAACTAGCTGGTTTTGCTTACAACAAAGATTGAAAAACGTCTGTATCGTTGTGATGGTGATGGTGATAAGCTTAGGGAAAGAAGAAACTGACAAATGTCTTTGCTTAATCACAGACTCCATTTTGTAACTTATACCCTGTGAAGGTTTTGTGTATTCTACAGATCTAGATTTCATAAATATTATTGTTTTTATGCACTGCAAATATCTATGAAACTTTTATTACTTAAAATAAATATTATATAAACGTTTATTTCTTGTATCATTAATTGTGAAGTAGACCAATGTCTTAACTCATCTGTGTTTTAAAGTAAGGTATTTACAGAATTTTTTACTTCCGAAATTATTTAGACACATGTCATCAACTTTAGATTTATACTAAATATGAAACAAGCAGCCAGTCGGCTGAGATAGCTCCGCTGTTAGCAATGCACATTTCAATTAAAGAACTGAAGATATCATTAGAAAATGAACAATATGCATAGTATCAATGCAATGGGACTTGCTGTTTTCAACAAGAAGTCAAAAATATTCATCAAAATTAGAGAATTGAAGATATCATCACGAAATGAACAAATCTGAGAGAGGTCCACATGTAGTACCTAGGCTAGATATGTAATATCAAAGCAATCTGACTTGCAGTTTTTAACAAGAAGTCGAAAATATCACTTTTTACCAAAAATGACAAAAATATTCATCAAAATCAGAGAAATGAAGATATCACGAAATGGACAAATCTGAGGTTCAACCAAGGTACCTACCTACATACCAAGCATATTTGGGCTAGCGGTTTTCAAGAAGTCAAAAATAGCATTTTTGACCAAAACTGACAAAAATATTTGCTATAAATAAGACAATTGATATTATCCACACGAAATGAACAAATCTGAGAAAGAACCACCCAAGGTACCGTCCTAGAAAGTTTCACAGCTATACAGAAAATGTGAAGACTGGACAATCGGTAATACTATAAGCTCCAGTTGACAGCGTTGCTAAAAATGAACATTTTTGGGAAAATTTTCAAAAATATCCATAAGCCTTAATTTTATAACTACATGTACATTTTTTTACTGTAAGTAACCAAATACAACAGTTTGAGATATGAGGCTTTATTTTCATAATAAATGTTCCCTTATATATATGCTCTCCAACCCAACCCAATCACAAATTATTTGACACTTGGCAGGGTCAAATGAGGTCACACAACACAGTAATAACCAAATGGTAACAATTTAATGTTACAAGAATAAATATAAGCAACACAGTAATCTACAATTAACATATTTGGAGCAGATCTGGAAAAAAAATTATTTGTTAAAATATTACTTTTCTTGACTGCAATTTCCATAACCAAATACGCTACTAATATAGGAGATATGGTAATATTAAGGTGAAGATATGAATATGGTGGTACATATGCTGTACCACTGTTTGTTCAACTATTGACAACAAATTTCTGTAGCATATCTGTGGTTTTTTGGTTGAGATAGAAAAATACTATTAGAGGTGAGAATGATTACTCAACATTCTGAGATTACTTAAAAGATGTGACACCAAGGAATTTGCATTTTTCTAGTATTTCACACGGTGCGACTCCAACAACATTTGACTCGTCCTGAATTGCAGACAGTTCCTCACCGAATCCATCAAGGATAAACAAGACAGGTTTGTCTTGATGGCGTATTCCCCATAACAGTTCATCCTTCATATTTGTGTAAGTGGGAAGGAGTTGATGGAATACAGCATCCATCAAGTCATCATACACTTCCATCTGATATGTGTCAATGTGGAATACAAGGAAGTATTCACTGGAAGCGCCATATGCCCATTGTTGGGCATACACACTACCAATGAAGGTCTTCTTGAACTTCAGGTATATGTCTTTGAGCACATTTATCATCTCATCTATCTGTGACGGGTAGTTTGGGAAAACATCTGTCCTTATATTTACCTCATTAAACTTCTTAAATATAGTAACTTCGTTAAATTTATGTTCAGTTGCACGCACTTCACACAACGGTAATATTGTACTTGGTATAGCATTACAGATTGTACTTCCTGTTTTTAATTTACATCCATCATTATCTATTCCATCAATAATGTATAGTATAGGTTTCCCTGTGTCTGCAATATGCTGTAAAAGTTCATCTTTTGATACACCAATATTCTCCGGTAAGAGTTGATCATACACTGCATCTATTAGATCACAATCATCACTTAGTAGTTTAGCATGCACGTGAAATGCTAATGTGTACTTCTCATGTTTCCCTGTAGCCCAGTCATATGCTAACTTTGTGCCTTTGATTGTCAGCCCTGCTTGTCTCCTCTTCATCAACTTCGTTCGTAGCTTGTTAATATAGTTCGATTGTCGGTTACCACAATCTAAGATTCGAGCATCTTCCCTGACACTGGTCGATTTACCGGTTAATGCAAGGTGGTGCATATTGTTGATATACGTGTGGCGAAGACTTTCTCGCAAAGAACTTATCAAAGAACTCTTACCACGATTGCGAAAACCAAGACGCCTAAGAACTATTTCCTGATGATATTGTTCGATTCTGTTTACTTGTGTACTGAGACCAACAACTCTCAATAAATCTTGCAGTACGTCTGTGTTGCCTTCGTCGATGATGCCTCTATTTTGTAGTCCTTTAATCAAATCATACGGGTGTTCAATCTTCTGCAGTGATCTCCTACTGGGCCGCAATTTTGAGGGCAATGCCTCGTACGCTCTTTTTAGCTGACGTAGTTCATCGTCTGTAATATCTTCTGATATCTCGTATATAAGTGCGTTAAAAGGGTCAAGCATATATTTTTCGTTCTCCCATTGAGAATCTTGTTTATCTCCGTGCCAGTCAGGTGTGGTCGCCATCATGGATATGATCAACAATCACGTGATCTGAATTTGGGTGAATGGCCTCAGTAAATCAACTGGTAGTGCACTGAAGCAGCTTCCACTAAAGTACTATGATCCACGGAAATACAAAATTAGGCAAATAGTCGTTCTTTGGAATCATTTAAATTTGCACGAAAAATCGCAACAACTCTAAAATATCAAACTATATTCGGGTATCGCATATTACTTGAATAAGTATATGTATATTGACATTGCTCCAAAGGCTGGTACGTACTGGGGACATTTGCTGAGAGTTTTTATGAGTATCCGATGTTATGTCAGGTGATATTGTTAACAACACTCTTCATAGATATTGTCAACACGTTGAAATAGCTTCATGCAATTTAGTAAATTAGACTCAATGCACAAATTATATAATCTTAATTTAGCTAGAGGGTCAAGTATCTCATTGTGATGTCAATCTGATTAAAATCTGATG